TCTCTTTGTGGTTGTTTTGTGTCTCTTAGTGGTTGTTTTGTGTCTCTTAGTGGTTGTTTTGCATCTCTTAGTGGCTGTTTTGTGTCTCTTTGTGGCTCCACATTCAGTTGTAGGTCTTTATAGGTTTCCTCCTGTTTTCGAGGGCATCCTGACAGTAAACTGACCTTGGGGGTCGTAGAAGACGTCTGATCCCAGGATGATGTCCAGTCTTGGCAGCAGGACGAGGTCCGGGGAGACTTCGCCCCACGTCAGCCCCACCAGCGCCACCTCCTGGAGGCCGTTGGCGTCGCAGCTGCGCCTGCAGTTCTGCAGACATGAAGGTTTGTCGGAGCTGTCGGACAGGATCACCGCAGCGCCGCAGCTCGCCGCCACCACACCGGGCAGCCCGACGCCGGCACCGAGCTGGGGGGGAGAGACGGGATCAGGTTCTGGACTAACACTGGAGTAACACTTTCTGTTTACAGGTGTGTAAAGGGCCACAGTATACTTGTCTTTGCACATATTCCAAAAAAAGTTGCATTTTATGCTGTCAAAGGTGAAAATGAGCAACTTTATACAGCACTATAATTACAACACTGCTTTGTATGGTGGCAAAAGCAGAAAAAAACACCTTAGTGTCTGTTTTGTGTGTCTTTGTAGATGTTTTAAGTGTCTTTGTGGTTGTTTTGTGTCTCTTCATGCTCATTTTGTGTCTCTTATAGTTGTTTGATGTCTCTTTTTGGATGTTTGGCATCGCTTTGTAGCAGTTTTATGATTCTTTGTGGTAATTTTCTGTCGCTTTTTGGTCACTTTTTGCATTTGTAGTTGTTTTGTGTCTCTTTATGGTTACTTTCTGTCTAATTTTACGTGTCTCTTTAAATTTATAGAGTGGAATCATAAAGCAACATAACATGAAAAGATTACAGTAAAATAAAAGTACATGAGTACTGTATTTAAGTATATGTCTGTGAAGATTCTCAGTCATTCAGGTCATGGTTATTCTGGTAGATTAATCGTAGCAACTGGAAACTCAAACAAATCCAGTTGCTATGATTAATCTACCAGAATGCATTTAAGTACAGCACTTGGTAAATGTACTTAGTTACATTTCACACGAAGACAAACTCTGATTGTGGTTTAGACTAAACTTAGAGTGAGTCTTAAGCTGACATTAATCAGCTGATCTCAGCTGTTCAACTCTAATTGCTGTGAATTCTGGGTAAATTAAGTTTTAATCTAAACTAAACAAACAGTCAGCTGAAGCCTCCGTGGAGAATTTAACGGCTACAAGATATTTTATCGCAAACTTCAGTCAAAAATGTAAACAAAACACAACAAAAACAGTTTGAGGCTGGGTTGGGTAAAGTTAGGCTGGTTTTCACAAGGACACCGTCTGAAATCTGTTCATATCTCTCCAGGTCTTTTCCAGGTATTCTAGGATTCTTGGGAGTGTTCAGTGTGAGGAATCGTGTTCACCTCCAGCACCGTCTTCCCTCTCAGCTCGCCTCTGCACGTCCACAGATACTGAGCCAGAACCACTGCACTGGGCCACACATACATGCCGTACTGGGGGTCCAGAACCTGACACCAAATAACACACAGGACATTTTACAAACAGTTCATTCACAGTGAAAATCTACTCATGCAGAGTGTCTCTCCAGAGTGAAGATATTCTGCATTTCTGTGTTCTAAATCACTGTAAACCTGGATTCTTTGGGTTTTAGATTACTGGTTTAAAAACTGTCTTGTCACGTTTTCCCTGAGAGCTGCAGCCCTGAACAAAACCATCACTAACGAACCACATAATTTAAGGATATCTTGCTTTTCAATCTATAAATATACACAACAGCTTTAAAACACACAATAATTCATGAAAAGATAATGTCCTCTTAAAATCGGCGTGTACAGTATCACCATGTGGTTCCTGTTTAATTTCAATTTGACCTTTTGTTTTGATCTAAGCGACCCTCCTTTCTTAATCTCAAGAGACAATCCAGTTATATTGTTCCATATGTTACACAAATAAAGACACCTTTATGTACTTAATGTAAGCCGAACTAAACAGAAGACCCTAATATGTTGTATGAACACCTGATCGTTGTTTTAGTAGCCACGTATTACTTATGCACCTACGGTTGGGTTAAAGTTAACCTTAACGTAACAGTTTCCAATTTTCTAAGATCAGACATAAGTTAAATAAATACATATTTGTGTACTGAATGTATGCCGAATTTTAAAAAAGACTATAGAGTATACCATAAAGTTTCAATGAATTATTTTACCGTGTAAAAACCATTTGTATACACATATTTATCTTAAATTAAGGTATTTTTTAAGGGGTTAGCGTCTTGATTCTATGACGGCGCAACATAAAGCAGGACAACAGCTAATTTATATGACAAATCAGTTTAAAACATGTATATATATGAGATATATTCAGTAAAACAGAGTGTTTATAAGCTCCAACAGACCTCAGGGATGGAGACAGAAAGCGACTCCTCTGGGTTCTTCGTGTCTTTAAACGTGAAAACTTTGTGAGCTATGCTGGGCGCCTCATCTTCGCCGTGGGCCATTGTGTGAACTAACACACTCTAAACTTACACATTTACATCGCCTGTTATCAGTCTTTCTGATTGTCTTTAAATGAAAAACTCATATTAACTGATTTATTCGATATTCAGCTGTGATATCACACGAGCAGCCATGCTGCTTGGACCTATTTCCGCGCCGACCAAAACACAAGAAGGACGGTGAAACAGCCAATCACATCCACGGGCGGGAAGGGTTAGTCTACCTTCCAACCAATCAACGCTTTGCCTTCGCCAACGCTGGACCCAATGAGCTTTCTCGTCTGCGATAGGGGCGGGCGCTGGCCCTGTCAATCAGTTGCGAAAGCATTGTGTTGCCCGCTGCCAGCTAGCCGCACATGCTAGCCCATTAGCTGTTTACCCGGCTTTACCGAGTAGCCAGGTTTTTTAAAAAGTGCTGCCACACCTGTCGGTATACACCTGGGTTTCACATATTACCCGCTGTGTGGGTTCGGTTGTCTTGTCAGGTATTAAAAGCGTAAGAGCAGCGCGGCTAGCCGGGTGTCAGCGCAGGCTAGTGGATGTGTTTGTGCGGTAGCCCCGGGTTAGCTCGATAGCTAGCTGAGCAGCGGCGTTTCCTTTTAAAAGCCCGGAGGAGGAATGAACCATAAGAGTAAGAAGAGGATTAAAGAGGCGAAACGGAGCGCCAGACCCGAGCTGAAGGACTCTCTGGACTGGATAAAACACGGCTACCATGAGACCTTCGACCTGTCACACCGCACCGTGAAGGTAACTGTCAGCGTAGCCGTGGAAGCTAAGCTAACGCAGGCAGCAGTGCAGCCCGTCACGTAGACAATGTAGGGGCCGATATGAAACCGGCACGTCCTGGGACAACTTTTCTGCACTTTCCCACATTTTAACTATTGTTAGCAAACGTGATTTTTAAAAAAGCAGAATCGGAGGAAGTATTTAAGTACAAGTACTAATATTACAGTACTATGTTACAGGTAAAAGTACTGCATCTTAGCGAGTTATGTAAACACACAGAGACTGACATCTGAATGAAGTAAAAGTAACAGTGTTGGGTCATAATTAGTAGTCAGAGATCTGTAAATTAGTTAATTAGTGATTCTTAGAGCTTCACGATATTGGGGGGCAAAAAAAATATGTTGGAATGGAGTTTTTCTGCCACATATTTGGTTAAATCTGGAAAAAGTAAAACAAAATCCTTTTACCTTCCATACTGCCTGTGGGCATCAAGTTGCTCTCACACTTGAACTTGTTTTGTGCCACTTATCCACGTTGTTTTCTCCTGACTAGGTCCTTGCTTGTGTATCTCCTCTCAGATGTACGTGGCTTTGGATAAAAGCATCTGCAAGATGAAACTGTATAACTGTAGAAATCTGTTGGTGAATTCCATGAAAAATCAACCAGTTGAACCCCCGACCGCCTCAAAATCAGCTGATTTTTCTTTTGTCTACAGTAATTTGTTTATATTTAATGAAGCCATAATAAGTTTTACCTTCATACTATGAATATTTTTAGAGCTACAGGCCCTTGAAGTACATAGAGGTGGTAAAATTAATTTTAGATGTGCTGTTACCAGCATTTCTGCACAACTTCATATAGGGCTGCAAGGTGGCTCAGTGGTTAGCACTGTTGCCTCGCAGCAAGAAGGTCGCCAGTTCACATCCCGGTGAGGACACCTGGGATCTTTCTGTGTGGAGTTTGCATGTTCTCCCCGTGCAGCGTGGGTTCTCTCCGGGTTCCTCTCACAAGGTCCAAAAACATGTTGAGGTTAATTGGTGATTCTAAATTGTCCGTAGGTGTGAATGTGAGTGTGCTTGGTTGTCTGTCTCTAAGTGTAGCCCTGTGATAGACTGGTGACCTGTCCAGGGTGTCCCCTGCCTTCACCCTGAGTCAGCTGGGATAGACTCCAGCCCCCCATGACCCTAGTGAGGACTAAGCGGTGTATAGATGGATGGACAACTTGATATGAAGATATGTAATCTTGGTATCCAACACTTCTCTTTTCCACAGAATAGAAAATGATGCTGCAGAAATTCCTTCAGTTTATATTTTGTGACTGCTACACTATATTTATATTAATAAATGATTTTGGCCTAAAATGAATTGTGTCTAGAAAATGATCCTGGTATCACATGTAGGTAAAGATGAGCCTCTTCATTTGCTACAACTTGTTCTGACCAGCTAACTACCACACATGCTGGTGTGAGTCTGGAAACTTGCACTTTTAAATGTTTTCTCCAGTAAATTATCAGTATCACAAAACTGATATTTTTTTCAGCATTTAATGTTTGTTTAATGACTAATAAAACACAAGATTTAAAACAGATGTGATTTCCTCCTATGAGTAAGGAAAAGGGGTCATATGTATATACCATCCATGACTCGGCTCCAACGTACGGTTCAAACACTTACAAAAAACACTCCGGTAATGCAAAATGACAGAATTATTGATTTGTTTTTAATCAGTTTGGGACAAATTTTACACAAGAAGTTCACAGAAAATGTGTTGTATAAAATCTAAGGACAATTACTGGCCAATAAATACTTCTGCTCCAGTCTGTGTGGGTGTGACCCGGTTTATAAAAGAGCTGTTAAACCAGCACTCACCTGCTCTTCTCAATACGTAGGTGTGTGTTCATATCACACACCCTTCTCTTTGTGTTGAGATGGTGGTTTGTTCTTTATCACATAGTAAAGTTGTGGCCCAGTCTTCTGACAATGACAGATGATAAAGGGATGAAAACAAGTTAAACATCTTCGCTACGGTGCTTTGGATGGAATGTTTTTAGGACTATTTATTGATTAAATAGTTAATTTTTCTCCAAAAATGTCTAATTCAGCTACGTGTCCACCATGGCACAGTATAAAATGGCCCCAAAGGTTTTACAAAAATGTGCTTAAAATAGTGGCAAAGTCAAAATATTTTTCAAGAACAATACTTTTCTGCTCTTCTGCTCAGTGAACCAGCTAATGATGTCAGTGATACACTAAGCAATCAGTTGATGTTAAAAATGTAACAGATTATAAATATAATCATCAATATGGCAGAAGAAGTTCATGCAGGTCAAAAAATAAAATAAGTTATTTTAGTCGAAGTTTTATAACTGAGTGAGCAGGTTTGACAAGTTGTGCCACAAAAACTAAAATATTGGGAGATATTCTGACCCTACTACACTTAATAGGCATCATCAGAGATGATTTGATCTACTGGTCCAATATTGCAGATTCTGAATCAATGACAGGATGTGAAAAAACTGCTAAAATTTCAGGTTTTTGTCTTTAATAGTTCCTGAGATGTTGGTTTTCAAACAGTTCAAATTTGTGTGAAAAAAGCCCCTGAAACTGGGTCACCAGGTAGATTTCTAATGATGTTCCTCTGACAGTGTTTTGTGTATCAACCTAAAACTTACACAAATATCGTTATAAAGGTCCATATTTTATGCTACTAAAATTTCAGGTAAATCAGAGATGTTGAGGAGAAATTGTCAGAATTCGATGATCTGAGATGGAAGGAGCGTTGACTTGACCAAACAAGGCCTCCCTAATGTTTTTATTCGACTGTTGGTGCTGATGTTTGCTGTGTTGCAGGACAACGTGGAGCGTGTGGACGCCCTCCACCTCAGTCCCGAGGAGTTCATCCAGCGCTTCGAGCGACCCTACAAGCCCGTCGTCCTGCTCGGCTGCCAGGAGACCTGGCCCGCCCGAGAGAAATGGACCCTGGAGCGCCTAAAACGCAAATACCGCAACCAGAAGTTCAAGTGTGGCGAGGATAACGACGGCTACTCGGTGAAGATGAAGATGAAGTACTACACGGAGTACCTGGAGTCCACCAGGGACGACAGCCCGCTCTACATCTTCGACAGCAGCTACGGCGAGCACGCCAAGCGTCGCAAGCTGCTGGAGGACTACCAGGTGCCGCTGTTCTTCAGGGACGACCTGTTCCAGTTTGCAGGGGAGAAACGCAGGCCGCCGTACAGGTGAGTCTGGCTTCACTTCATCCATCAAAGCTGCGACCTTTTACTGCAAGTTTCCACATTAGAACCAATAAACAACTTAAATGATTAATCAGTGATCGGTTTGGGTAAAATTCTTAGAACAATTTCTCTTGACCGTGTCTGATTTGCCTGAACTTTCTATGGCATGAAATGTGGAGATTTGTAAAGATATTGGTGAAAGTTTAGCTTGATATATCAAACACTTTCTGAGATAGATATGAGGCTGTTTGAACAACAGCATCTCAGGAACTGTTGAAGATAAAAACCTGAAATTTTCACTGTTATTTCTCATCATGTCCTTGATTTACAATCTGTAATAATGCTTAACTCTACACAACGGGGTCAAAAAATACAAAATATAACCATAACAAACTAAAATCATAGTTATATTTAGAGAACCACTTTGAAACTGGTTTTATAGAACAAAAAAAAACATTTGTTAGAAAGGACTGAAACATTTTAGAAAAATAAATGTAAAAATGTTTTCATCATTGTCAGTGTTGATGTTCCTGAATTCGGGTTATTCCATCTCAAATCATCCGGGACCTGCTCTACTAGATATTTATAAAGATATTTGTAACGTATTGGCTTGAACATCTGCTCAATCAGTTCCAAAAGATAAAACTGAAATAACTTACTTTTCATTTATTTGACCAAGTATTTTCATCTCACCTGTAATCAGTGACTCGTTGATCTACTTGTTTAATATTACAGATTTTGAATCGATGTCATGATGAGAAATAACAGTGACATTTTCATAAATTTTTCGCCAAAACAACGAACTCTCCACATTTTTCACAATTTATGTCATTTTCGAGACCAAACCGCTGACTCTGATTCGTCCAGAAAATAATCAACAATAAACATCACTACTAGTTGCAACCGAATGTTGATCAGGACTGATGAAGATTAATTGTAAATCAGGTAATTGATAGAAAATATGTTGTAGATTTGCTGTGTTGAACCACCAGGTGGAGCCACTGACTTTGGAATGTGATCGACTGAAAGGAGCGTTTAACCACCTACTTAAAAAAAAAAACAAAAAAAAAACAAGCGCTCCTCCTTATCTCAAGAAAATAAAAAAATGTTTGCGTGTCTCTGCTGACTTATGTTGATGAACTCATCAGCACACAGTCATGATCTACTTTCGAACAGTTTATGTCGAGTGAAGCTGCAAGTTGTGAATCTGTCCTTTGACCTAAATTTGAGGACGTTTGAACAACAATATCTCTAGAAAAAAATAAAAACCTGAAACTCCAACTGTTATTTCTCATCATATCATTGAATCAGAAGCTGTAATAATACTTAAGTCGACACAGTGAGCTCCCAAAATAACTAATATACCCATTAAAAAAAAATCTTGGTTATATTTGGAGAAGCATTTTAAAGTTCCAGACCTGCTTGGATCAAAATATCGACCAGTATGTAGTTACAACTTGTCACACCTGCTCGATCAGTTATGAAAGATGAACCAGAATCATTTGTTTTTAATTTTGTGAGCAAGTATTTTAAATGGAAAAAGTACCAATTTAAAAATTCCCCTCAAAAATACATCCCTTCACCAAATTTGATGCACAATGCATTTAACACAGCCAAAAGTATCTAAAAATCAAAAATGAGAAGGACAGAAATGTCCGAGTGGACGCATGAGGGTTAAATCATTTCACATCATATAAAACACATTATGGTCGTAGTTTAGTATAACTCTGATTGTTTATTACACTGTGTACGGACATTTTTGTTTTCCTAGTGCAATATACATTTTAAACTTTTTATGCTGATACTCATGTTTATGTTTCTGGGTCATATTTTTAAACTCACATTTCTTTTTTTTTTCCTTGTGCCTAAATTTCTAAGACTTCTAATGGGAGCAACTGTAACGTGAGCACCTTCCCCTCAGGGATCAATAAAGTGACTCTGATTCAAACATAATCTTTATTTAGCACTTTGGTGCAGCAGCTGCTGCTGTAACCCTTTATTGGACACGCATTGAAATACTTAGAAACTCAAAAGTTCATCCCTGAAGTGGCATCGGTGGATGTAAGAGGACATTTTTTCTTTTTTGACTTTTAAAAAAAGTTTCAGATTTAGGCTGAAAAGTCAAAGCAGTTTGCATATATTCCTCGCCCACCTAGGGTAGTAAAAGATTTCAAATAATATGTGGATAGAATATGTAATATATATAATATCTGACACACTGTGATTGGTTAGAGGCCACAGAGACGGTGTTGTGATGTAGCCTGACCTTCGTTGATTGGCTGGATGAAGTCATGTGATGCTGCCCCCTGCTGAAGTTACCATATATGGTTCTTTGTCCAATAAAGGGCTAATTGTGCTGAATAATACATGGTGACTCTACCAGGTCTGGTCTAAACTCTACGTCCCCCTACAGATGGTTCGTGATGGGTCCGTCCCGCTCTGGTACCGGCATCCACATCGACCCGCTGGGCACCAGCGCCTGGAACGCCCTGGTTCAGGGCCACAAGAGGTGGTGCCTGTTCCCCACCAACACGCCCAGAGAGCTGATCAAGGTGACCAGAGAGGACGGCGGCAACCAGCAGGACGAGGCTATCACCTGGTTCAGCGTGGTTTACCCGCGGACGCAGCAGCCAACATGGCCGCCAGAGTTCAGGCCGCTGGAGATCCTACAGAGACCTGGAGAGACGGTGTTTGTGCCCGGTCAGTGAAGTTTTTATCACCGTCCTATGGTTTCTCTTTACCTTTATTTTCTTGCCACCCAATACACACCCAACTTTACCGTAGAGTGAGTTTTGGTGAAATGTACGGAGCCCCTAAAGGGACATGTCAGGGGGAAAAAAAACAAGTATCTTGTGCATACAGCTTTGGCCGGTTGTAGGTTGTGGTCTGTATTACAAAGAGGTGCCGTTTGATTTAAAAGGGCGGTTCGCTTTGGAGTTATTGATGCCATAAGTTCGAATCTTTGAATATCCAACAAGAAACGTATCCACATGAGATACTTGAGGTTTTTGTTTTTTCTTTCACGTCCCTTCAGGGGCTCCGTAGAAATGAGACACTCAGATCATATTCTGGATCAATTTACAGAATGATTCAAAAGCTCTGGGCCCACCATGAAGCACTTCTATAGACTTAAACCTCTTTACTACAATATACAGACGAGAACATTCAGAATAATTCAGCAGAACTGATTATTCAAACACTAAATGTCCTGAGAACAATGTTTTACAGGCAAAGTGAGACGCCATATACTTGATATAAAAAAAACAGACATTAAAGAAGTTAAGGGATGTTTTTATGTATTTAAATAACCAAACAATGAGAATACAACAACACAACTGAAATACTGATGCTAACCATTGAAAAGTATTTGTTCTGCTTTGCGTTTTCAAAGGAGGCTTTGAAATCTATTTGAGCACCACACAGGTCTACTTATTCAGTCACTAATGAATGTTCATATATTTATTAATAATTAATTTAATATTGAGATATCTGTTGATTATGTTCATATTTTAAGGAAAATTGCAGAAAAAAGAGGCTAAATTCACAGACTCAGTAAATAATAATACGTTGGTTTGACATTGCCGTCTTTGTAGATCTGGGTGATGAAATGAGTGTTGTTTAGATTTTGGAGAGCCGCTGTTCTCCGTAGCAGAAAGCAGCCCGTCTTCATTGAGAACACGCAGTGACCCAGCAGTGACTCGACATGTGTTGACAGTTTACAGCAGTGTGTAGTGAAGCGGATGTGACCTACATCCTCCTAATGCCAACGGAGCTGATGGAGTCAAGGATGGATTAAACCCTCAGCTGCTCCTTCGACACGATTCCAGGATTTAGGCTTCACCTGCCGGCTCCACAGTTCTCTCACCGTTTTGTTTTTAATTGCATTACCGGTTGTTCCATCTCAAATCATAGCCTGACATATCAAATGATTTCCAGGATAAACATTTTTTAAAATTGCCCGCACACATTTAAATGTATGGCTGTTATGACAATATCTCAAACTGTTAGAGATAGAAGCCCAAAGTGATCGGTGTTATCATCATGTCATTGATTCAGAATCAGTCAAGGTGACGCTTTCAGATCTAGTTTTGTCGTTTCAATTTTTTCAAATATTTTCATTCAAGATGCTGTGGTCGCATTTTTTATAGTTTTAAAAATATACTAAAAAAAATACTCAAAAACATTCATTCGATCATCAAATGAATGCGATGCTTGACTCATCGATTAGCCATGGCAGCTCTCATGTTAACCGGCTGTGTGTCTGCAGGCGGATGGTGGCACGTCGTCCTCAACCTGGACACGACGATCGCCGTCACCCAGAACTTCGCCAGCACCACCAACTTTCCCATCGTGTGGCACAAAACGGTCCGAGGACGACCGAAGCTCTCCAGAAAGTGGTACCGGTAAGAACGAATTCTCAACAGTGACGCTTCAACTTTTCAAATTTCAAGTGTCTCTTTCTAGAACCTGCAGGCATTCTGCCTCCTCCTTGGAAGTTGTCTCCTTTTAATGCTTTTCAACGTTGAGTCCTGGGGAATTTAATGAGGTCCTCGACAATTGAGTGACTGAGCAAGAAAGGGACGAGTGAGGGAGGCCACCAAGACTCCTATGAGTCCTCTGAAGGAGTTACAAACTTCAGCAGCTGAGAAGAAAGACACTGTACATACAACTGTTGTCTGTTCTTCACCAATCAAAGCTTTATGGGAGAGTGACAAAAAGAAAGACACTGTTGGAAAAAGTTAATATTAAATCTGGACTAGAGTTCACCAGAAGACATGTGGGAGACTCTGAAGTCAACTGGAAGAAGGTTCTTTGGTCTGATGAGACCAAAATGGTGAATTTTGTCCATCAGACTAGAAGCAGTGTTTGATGGACACCAAACACTGCACATCATCACAAACACACCATCCCCACTGTGAAGCATGGAGGTGGCAGCATCATGATGTGGGGATGCTTCTCAGCAGCAGACCCTGGAAGGCTTGTGAAGGTAGAGGGTAAAGTGAATCCAGCAGAATATAGAGATGTACGTTCTTGTTAACAAAAGCCAAAATACATGGACTATGATTCCATGTTGAAAAGCAGTAAACGGGGAAAACTTCCAAGACGGGTAAATACTGTCTGTTGTGACTTCATCATCACACTGACATGTGATCCGTGTCTGGACGTCTCACCTGGATCACGATAAACATGTTAACACTTAATGTGTCATTTCAGTATTTTGAAGCAGGAGCGACCCGACCTGGCGGCGCTGGCGGACAAAGTGGACCTGCAGGAGTCCACGGGTATCGCGTCGGACAGCTCCAGCGACTCTTCATCTTCATCATCCTCCAGCTCGTCCGACTCGGACTCCGATGTAAGTGCTAAAACACACAGTGGGTGGAAAACAAAAAGTGTGTGGTTTAAGAAAATTAAAACAAAATATGTTCAAATAATAGTAATGCAAACTGCAATGTACGCACCGCACAACGAGGGATTCCTTTCTAGAGTCAGAAAATCCTGAACAGATTGTGCAGTGAAACTACAGAATACATTATATATTCATCACATATTAACACAGTGGTGCATAATCTGAGTTTCCTGTCCTAGTGGTTACAAATGAAGCTCCAGAAACCTCTCAAACGCTGCCTTTGAACCACACTTCAGTCACTGTGAAGTCCTGTGCTGCGTTCTTTCTTTTATACCTGCACAGAGGAGCAAGCTGTGGTTGAAAACAGTGGGTGTTGAAGTTGTGTGTTGGCTGCGTGCAGGACATAAAGTTCTGCTGAGTCTGAACACACAGTTACAATCCCTGCTTACATAAATCCCTGCTGTCAGGATCACACGTGTCTGCAGGAGTTAGTGCTGCCAACAGGTGCTACAGGTGTAACGTTACACTGCTGGTTGAGCCCTAAAAAACATAACAAGTCCTCCTCAGCATCAGCGGATTCTTCATCTACAATAGCTTCAGTATGTTTAATGAAGCCATGCAAAGTTTTACCTTCATACTATGAACATTTTCAGAGTTACAGGCCCCTAAAGTACATAGAGGTGGCTCCAAATGTCTTATTTCACCTGCAGGAACAACCAGGTACTGCAGCTAATCTACAACACAGTTTCTGACGAGCATGAACTTCTTCTTTTTCTGCCTTATCTGTGAATTGGTTTTCAATCAGTTAAATTATAATTATTCTGTAGAACCATTGGAAGTTTACTGAAAATGCACTTTTTAAAGTTTTCTCTGGTGAATTATCAGAAAACAAAAACACATGCAGGGAACCAAAGCCTGTTTCTATGACTCGGTGTCATAGACATTGAACTGCTGCGGTTTTGCTGTTTAAACTGTGATACATCCCATAATATGGATGTTTTAAGGTTGGTTTTACAGAAAATGAACAAAAAACAGATTTAGTCTTTAGACTGTGACACCTGGTTGGATGTAAAACTGAGTTGGTTCATGTGCTGTACTGATGAAGTTATGAACTCAGAAATGATTTAAAGTGGAAGTGTGATATTTGGAGCCACCTCTGTGGACTTCAAGGGCCTGTACCTCTGAAAATATTCATAGTATGAAGGTAAAACTTTGTATGGCTTCATTAAATATGATAAAGTTACTGTAGATGAAGATCAGCTGAGAGAACTGTTTTCAGATTTTGTTGATTGTTGTACGTAGTGTTGCTGCTGTAACAACATGACGCTGCTGTCTCCTGCAGGCGGAGTCGGGCTCGGAGGGCGACGCCATGTCTCACCGCAGGAAGAAGCGACGGACCTGTGGGACGGCGGCCAACGGCGACACCAGCAACCAGGACGACTGCGTCAGCAAGGAGAGGAGCTCGTCGCGGTGACCTCCGACCTCCGGCAGCGGCGGCTTTGCTCTCAGACAGACCTCCACTCCAGCTGCTTCTGGTCGAGTTTACGTCCCCGGACGGAGGCTGTCTGCAGAGACAAGATGGCCGCCGCCGTCGCCAAGAGGCTGCAGGAGACCTGCCACCACTGTGCTTTTCAACACAACCAGTTTCTGTTTTTCTCTGTAGCTTCTGTAATGAAACAAAGATGAACCGGGAGCTCATCGCTCGTCTTTAAAACGGAGGGACGGTGATATTTTCTTTGACTAAAATGAATTATCAACACAGTCAGCCGACAACACAGTTTGGCTTCTGGGAGTTTTTCTGCTGTGTGTTCTGGACACACAGTTAAATACACGATGCTGCGTTCAAGGCAAGTCGGAGAATTTCTGACCTCCTGCTTGAAAACGGATGAACAAACGGCCAGACATCCTCAACAGTGAACATTGCTTATTTATTTAGTAAATGACACTTCATTGCCTGTCGTGTGTAATAGTCAGACGAGATTAAGGTAAAATATCACACGAACATCCTGTTCTATCCATTGTTCATCCTCAGTTTGGTTGATTTCCACCTCCAGAGAAGTCCATTTTCTTGCCATCAGCTGTGCTGATTGTTTACATTTGCAAGTTGCTTCGAGCTTAGAAATGTCCGAACTGACTCGAACGCAGCACTAAATGAACTTCTCGGGCCTCTAGTTTCACGAATCCGGATCAGGGTCCTAAGAAAATCTGAGAAAACATAAAATTTTAATAGAAGAGAAGCTATTAAAAGAGCCTTAAATGTAGTTTACACATTTGTTTCTCCCTGTTTGGTTTGGATGACTTTCAAACAGGTGTCTGAAAAGTCGTCTATCGTTCTAAGTCGCATTTAAAAGGTCTGAAAACATTCATTGGACACAAAGTATGTCCAAAATAACTCAAACTATTAGCAACATGAGTAAAACAAACGTGTTTAAAATGGCAAACAACTTATCTAAGATGTAAAAAAAAAACTAGTGAAAGTAGTGAAAAATTGTCCAACGTAGCTCAAAAGTTGGCAGGACATTATATTACCATGAAAAGGGTGAGAAATGTGCAAACTGACTCGAAACTTGAGCATCCGTCTGTGTCCAAAGCTGTTTTCACTTTGTCAGAAATAGCAAAAGACGTTGTTCAAAATGACCCAGAATGACTCAGACTTTTTCCAAAGGGACTTAAAATTAATCAAACTGTCTTGAAAATTGTCCAACGGTCCTGAAAACTGGCACCAGTTTTAAACAGCATATCATTACGACTAAACGCTGCTCGACAACCAGCTCTGAGTCCAGGAGCCAACTGCACACAACACCTTCAGTTTTCTTGTTTTTTTTTATTCATCAATCTGTCCTGAACAAGACCTTATCCCAAGTGACTGAAGGCTTTTCTAATTGGCCCAGCGTCTGTCCAAGTGTTCAGAGTTATTCAAACATTGTCTCGAAAGAATCAGAATTTGTCCAGAATAACTTTTTCAAAATGACACAATCTGCCCAAAAATCTTCCAAAATATAATAAATGTGCCCAAAATTAGGTAAAAATCATCCAAACTCACTCAAAAGGTATCGTGAGTAGAACTTTGCAGGATGAATTCACAACAGTCCCAGAACTTTTCAATCGCGCCTCGTATCAACTGTTGAAACTTGCTGCTGAAAATGTCTTAAAATTTCCCCTGAGCTTAGAAAACCCTTTAAGGGATTCTGTGCAGCGTCTTTAACGAAGCCTTAAGTGCTGAGGAGAAAACTTGGTGTTTGTTTTTGAATCTCCTCACAGCGAAAACTCCACTTTATCGTATCCTCCGCTTCAGAAAGTGAACTTTAAAGCGAAGCTCCCGCCTGCTGTATGAAATACAGACTCTGTAGATGAAGTTCTCAGGTGTTCGAGGATCCAGCAGCTGGAGGGTTTGTGCTGCTTCGTGCCAAAAGCTGCAGGCGAGTCATTCTAAATGGCGGCAGCAGTTTTAGCTCCAGAGAAAGAAATTCTACTGTGACTGGATTTACTGTAGACAAGGACGAGTGTTTTCATTATTCACAAATCAGATCAAAGTAGTTTTTACTCAGAAATGTCAAAATCAGCTTTAAATTACGCCTTCTTCATCTTTTCTGATGGATCTCTTTGGGTTTTGGCCGGTGGTTGGTTAAAACAAGACGCGCGAAGACGTCATTTTTGCATTTTTCACTTTTATTTTTCTTACTGTTATTTTATTGTCGGTTTCAAATGCCAGCTTAGTGGGAAAACTGACCATCAAGCAGAAGAAAACGCTGACGATAAACGATTTAAATGTTGAGCTTCTGTTGCTTCAAGAGGCAAGAAAACGAATACAAGCTGCAGCCCCCCTTTTTTTTCTTTTTTGAATTATTGATTTATGTAACTTTAGAAACCAATGAAAAAATGTCCCTGTGATGTCTTCAGAAGTCCAAAATACTCAAGTGACTGTAATTTAAGTGGAAGAAAAGCAGCAGTTTTGGAGGAAAAAAGATGAAAAAAAAAAGAGAGAGTAGAGTGCAGCTTTTGTCAACCAGAATCCTTTAAAGTGAGTCGTGAGATGAATCTGTGCAGTCCATGTTAACCGTCGCTTTAGACTAAAGTGCCTAAAATTAACCTGAGGTGTGTCGGTGTGACTGACTGCAGGGGGCGCTGTGTTTTTATCTGAAGTTAAAGGCACTACGTTGGTCACACGGTGCCTTCAGGTGAAGCCGAGACGATGAAGCTCGATGAGGATGAGGAGGAGCTTCTTCACCAGACGCTGATGTGATGAATTTCTTTGTGTTGCTCAATAAAATCTTTTCTATGACTCAGAATATGTCGTCTGTTTAATTCTGCCACCTCTGTCTAGTCTGTTATTATTAAGGCCTTTTATTTTGGATAGCTACCAATTAGATGCCTTAGCATCCTGTTTATAACGGTTTGATTTCGGGGGAGTTGGAACCTGTTTGACAGGTCTTTTATTTTGAAACCTAACTCTTATTGCCCTTAAAATATGTTTGTAAAGGTCCTGTTTTCAAAAAATAACCGTCAGTGCCTTTGTTGGCTGTTTGTTGGGTCTTTCATTTTGAAAAGGCTAGCCATAAATGCCTTAATATCCTGTTTTGAAGTTTTTTTTATTATGAAAACAACTAATACAATAATATTCTGTTTCCAAGGCTTATATTTTGAAGGGAAAAACATCAAATGCCTGAAATTCCAGTTTGCTAGATCTTTTATTTTGAAATCCTAAAGGTTTTTTAATTTCAAAATTAAATATAATGCCTTTATATCTTGTTTTTAAAGGCTTATGTTTTGGAAAAAGTATCTCGAATGCCTATTATTTTGTTTTTAAGTTATTTTATTTTGAAAGCTATACCAGAATGCCATAATGGCCCGTTTTAAATTCTTTCATTATCAGAACAACTAACTTAAATACATTCTGTTTCTCGGGGCCTCTATTTTGAAGGAAAAAACACCAAATGCCTGAAATTCTAGTTTGCCAGATCTTTTATTTTGAAATGCTAAAGGGCTGTAATGCCTTTATATCTTGTTTTTAAGGGCTTCTATTTTGTAAGAAGTAACTCCAATGCCTATTATTTGGTTTACAAGTTCTTTTGTTTTGAAAGCTATACCCGAATGCCATAATATCCTGATTGTCAGGTATCCTAATTATTAAAAAAAAAAAAAGAGAGAGAGAGCCTTTTCTAATTTCTAAATAAAACAAAAAATCTTAAATAGTTAAATATTTTATTTTGAAAACAAATTAAAAGCGCCTCGTTGTGATTGTCAAGTATTTTGTTTTGAAAAACTATCCTTACTCCTTCATATCTAAGTTTTTAAATTGTTTTTATTTTTGAAAACGCTCTGTGTGTTTGTGTGTGTGTGTGTGTGTGTGTGTGTGTGTGTGTGTGTGTGTGTTTATATTTATGTGTGTGGTGTTGTGCGCAGGCGCCGCCCCCCCTCCAGTGTGTGTGGTTCCTGATGACACACTGCGGCTCCTGATCAGAACCTCCGGACCTTCCAGCGGTGAGCCTCCCATCATGGACCTGGACCCGACCGTCGTCCTGCCCGCCATCCTCTTCACCGTGGTGGCCCTTTACTTCGCCTCGTCGCTGCTCAGCAAGAAGCCCGACGCCTCCTCGTCCTCTGCCGGGAAACAGAAGCCCAAAGTCGGCTACGGAGACGACATCCCTCCGTCCAGAGCTCTGGGGCAGCAGCCCGCAGCCTCAGCGCGACCCGAGCCTCCTGCCCCGGCTGTGGAGGACATCGGAGCCGCGGAGAAGATCCAGGACGTCCCTGCGCCTAAAGTTCAGGTAGGATCGATGCATTCTGGTATTGATCCGCTGCTCGGTGTGTGAAATGCACAGAAACTGAATTTAAACTGAATAATCTGCTGCTTTTTGTAACTTTAGAAGTTTTTAATTGTCCAGCAGATGAAATAAAACTGCTGATCCGACCATAAATAAAATGTAGACACCTGTTTTTCTCACTGGATTTGATTAAATTCAGTTTAAATTTAGATAAAAGTTTATTTATCATCCTCAGAGTTATCAATAATAAATAATCAATAGCTGAAGCCCTAATTAGTTTTAAAAAGCACCACATTTTAAATTATTAACATCTACACCAGCCCAAACAACTCACATGTTTTTGGATTTTCTTCGTGAAAAAGCTTCAGGAATCAACCGATCAATCAATTTATTGATCGACCGATTGATAGAAATTATTGCTGAGGGTGAAACTGAGGGAACTTCTGGAGTTTGAGCGTTTTATCGACAGAAGCTGTCGTTGTTTCTGGAATAAAACGAGTTATTTAACAGACAAATGACTGGAATGAAAACCGACTGAGGTTATTGATCAGAACGGTCGGTCTGATCAATCATCAGAGCCGCTGTGTTCCTGCTAATTAACCGTATTTATCACTTATTGATCCACTAACTGTCCTGTGGTTCAGACGCAGTGCCATGTTGTGTCACTAGGCGGTGATCAATACGACGCCTCCTGATCGATTATTGGTATTAATAACTGTTCCATATCACTTGTCACAGTGAGTATTTATCCTGGACAAACCTTTGTGTCGTGTGTCGCGTGGACGTGTATTGATCCTGAACTGTGACGATTAGCTGATCGATTGATTAGCTGATAATCAACAGAGTGAATTCATATTGTTATGAAGCTTTTCAAATAAGCTAAAACATCCAGGTTGTTGTCACATTAGTGAGTTAACATTCATCATTTTTGACGCTTAAATGTGTTAATATTTAGGTTTTTGACACTGACACTGTTTTTTTTTTTAGACTTAAATCCAGATTTTTGAGAGTTTAATGTGTAAATATCCACATTTCTGACACTTAGCCGTATTGACATCCAGGTTTGTGACTCTTAAATCCGTTCATTTCTAGGATTTGACACCTCGATGTGTTAATTTTCTGGTTTTTGACACGTACATGTGTTAATATCCAGGGTGCTGGACGTGTTTTTCTTTGTCGTACATGACAAAGAACTGACTCACAGCTGGTAAAAGAAAACAAATCCTCTGAGTAGGTCTGGGGGTAGCTGCTTAAACATCCCATAACTCTGTCCCACCTCAGTACCTGGATTTAACACTGTTATTCTGAGCAAACCTGCAACAAACGTGGATTAATCAGTAACCCTTCCCGGGATGATTACAGTCATTTTAATATTCTTTGGCTGCCTGATACCTGAACAGCGTCCAGCAGCTGATTGGCTGATTTGCTTGTGCACACGATGACGCTCCAGCTGATTCTGTGGAGGGAAAACACCCAGCGCAGCCTCCGGAAGCGTCCGAACGTCTCATCAGCGCGTCTTTCTGACCTTTTTCCTCTTTGAGGCGAGGCCTTTAAAAAGCTTGAAAGAATGCGCTGCTGTAACATGACTGAGGTCTATATTTGGTGCCAAACATGACTCCTATATTTACACCTGTGTTCGGGGTGTCACATGCAGGTGGGCGGGGCTTCATGTCATGTTTGACAGCTGGGGCTCATTTAACGCTGCTGATTCAGACCCTCGTTGGCTTTTAACCCTCTTCAAACTCACTCATTCCTCCTTTTTCTCTGGTTTCCTTCAAACTATTTGCCTTTAAGGGGTTAGTTTGGATTTTAAGGCAAATTATCTTCCATCCTGATCATCGATAAACACATTAACCCCAATAACAGCAGCCGCTTATTGTGGTCGTGTTTTTGTTATGAATTCTATTTTTTCAATTTTTTATTTATTTAACAAAATTCAACAACAATAGTCAACAAAAAGAAAAAAGGACATGTTTAGTTAATTGAATAATACACAAATATTAAATAAAAAAACACAACAGTTACTTGATTTAGTATTTTTGTTTATTGCTTTGGTAATATTTCGTTTTTCTCTAAGCTATTCCTTTTTTTTGTTACAAATTACCCTGAAAATTATTTGTTTAATTAGTTAAAAGCCAAAAGAAAGAAGGGGGGAAAAATTATGCAGCCAATTTGTTTGAAATTTCTTTTAGCGTTTTGTTATTTTCTTTTTTGTCTATTTTACAAATACAAATTCTAAAATAATAATAATAATAATTAATTTTAATTAATTTGAAAAAATAAGTGAAATGTGACAATTTAAATAAGTTAAATTATTATGTGTTCTTTTTTTTCGGTAGGGTATTTGTTTTTCATTTTAGTTACACATTGTTAAGAATATTTAGTGTAATTAACTGAAAATTAAGAAAAATGAAATAATAGTTTTTAGAAAACAAATAAATTCCTATTTGTTGTTTTATGTAGTTTACATAAATCCTATATGTAACAATAATTTAAGTTCAAAATAAACTGAAATAAATAATAATAAATACATGTTTTTAAAAATAAATTAACAACAAATAAAACTAATTTTATGTAGTTCTTTTAGCTTGATTTACTATTTCTATTTATTATTAAATATATTTAAGTTTTCTATCTGATGTCTTTTTCTATTTTATCTGTTTTGTCTATTATACGTTTTAAAAAACTAATTTAAAAAAGAAAAAAACATTAAATAACAAATACAAGAACAGTTAAAGTGTGAGATATTAAATATTGTAAATTAAACTATTCTTCATGTATTTCTTGTTCCCTGGTTTGATCACCTGTCCTGTGTTCAGGTTAATGAACAAAATGTGACATAAACGGTGTCAGACGGTCTTGAACTGTAAACATCCAGCAGCTCTGTTCTGTTAAAGTATCTTGAATATAAATCGACTGAAGCTAACATGTATGAGTTACGCCCTGCCGTCCTCTGATAACGTTATCCAGCACTGAGGGCCTCACTGTCTGCCGCGCTGCATCATGGGAAATCTTACAGTTGGCTTTGTGTTGACATAAAGACGTCAGTGTTCAGCTGAGACACTGTGAAGCTTTTTGTTCAGACAATGTGGAGGCAGAGAAAGACCTCTGTAGCATTTCTACATCTTTATTTAAACTCCCAGTCTGTTGGTTTAACTCTAGTCTCAGTTTAACTTTAGTCTGTTAGTTTAACTTTCGTCTTTAGTTTAACATTAGTCTGTTAGTTTAACTTTAGTCTTTAGTTTAAGTTTGGTCTGTTAGTTTAACTTTAGTCTTTAGTTTAACATTCGTCTGTTAGTTTCATTTTAGTCTTTAGTTTAACATTAGTCTGTTAGTTTAACTTTGGTCTTAAGTTTAACTTTAGTTCGTTCAACTTTAGTTTACTTTAACTTTAGTTTGTTAATTTAACTTTAGTCTTTAATTTGACTTTGGCCTGTTAGTTTAACTTTTGTTTGTTAACTTTCGTCGTTTAGTTTAAGTTTAGTTTGTTAGTTTAACTTTAGTCTTTAGTTCAACTTTTGTTTGTTAACTTTCGTCGTTTAGTTTAACTTTAGTCTGTTACTTTAACTTTAATCTCTGTTTAACTTTAGTCAGTTAGTTTAACTTTAGTCTGTTGGTTTAATGTTAATCTGTTAGTTTCAACCTCAGTCTTTCAGCTTTAACCTCTATTAGCTCTAATCTTCGTCTATTAGCTTTTACCTCTGTTAGCTTTAGCCTCAGTCCGTTAGCTTTAGCCTCGGTCTGTTAGCTTTAGCCTCGGTCTCTTAGCTTTAGCCTCGGTCTGTTAGCTTTGAACCTCTTCTACTTTTTTCCTGTTTTTAAATGCAGTCCACAGAACAAGTTAGCTAACATTAATGTTAGCTAACATTAATGTTAGCTAACTTAGTCATATCCAGTCGATGGTTGTCGTTTTAGCAGAATCAACTTAAATCAACTAGAACAGACAACCTGTTCTATCCAGAGCTTCTCATTAGCGGTGACAGAGAGTTTTAAACGTGATATAAACTGTGACAGGAATAAAACAGTAACTGTGGAAGGCGTGAAGTTTCTGATCCAGCAGCTGAACAACTGATTCTGCTGGACCTCAAGAGGCCGGTTAAAGTGAGCGCTGCTGCCCCCTGCAGGCTGCAGCGCCTCAGGTTTAGATTTACAGCCGCTGCACGTCAGCGTCGCAGCCCAATCCGGCTCTGTGACATTTATGTTCTTAGCATGTTGTCCTGATCCGTGTTCTAGAGTTACAGACGGCAGCTCGGTCCTCTGCAGCCTAAATAAGGACAGAAAGGAGACGAAGCAGCGTTTCAGTGCAGCAAACCGTCTCATTCTCACTAAATCAGATTAAAAACAGAACAAACCTGCAGCAAAGAAGTAACATCAGAGCTGCTGATGGTTCCCTCCCCAGTCTGACAACTACAAACTGCAGCAGCTCCTTTTATGGAGACGTGAGACGGAGCTAGTTAGTCAGTCAGTTAGTCAGTCAGTTAATCAGTCAGTCAGTCAGTTAGTTAGTTAGTTAGTTAGCTGGCTGGATTCTGACTGGAATTTTGGTTGGTTTGCATGCTGTTCGTTGCATCACAAACCTCTGCTGAGACACGATGCTTCCTGCTTCACAGCTGGGATCAGGTTTTGTTGTTGCTGTGCCGTTTTTTTTTTCTTCCTGATTTTTGCAGGTGGTTGAGATTCCAGCAGGTGTCTTGCTGTTGCCTTTGGTTTTGTTGGACAAGAATTTACGCAAAAAAGACTTCCAGACATCCCTATACTTTGCTGGCTTCATTTTGCCCTCTACCTTTACAAGACTTCCAGCGTCTGCTGCTGCTGCTGAGAAGCATCCTCACATCATGATGCTGCCACCACCGTGCCTCACATCATGATGCTGCCACCACCGTGCCTCACATCATGATGCTGCCACCACCGTGCCTCACAGTGTGGATGTTTGTGATGATGTGCAGTGTTTGGTATTCGCCAAACATAGCATCTAGTCGGATGGACAAAAATCTAAATTTTGGTCTTATCAGGACAAAGAACCTTCTTCCAGTTGACTTCAGAGTCTCCCACATGTCTTCTGGTGAACTCTAGTCCAGATTTATGATGAACCTTTTCCAACAGTGTCTTTCTCTTTGTCACTCTCTTGTCTCAGCTGCTGAATCTTGTAACTCCTTCAGAGGACTCATAGGAGTCTTGGTGGCCTCCATCACTCGTCCCTTTCTTGCTCGGTCACTCAGTTTTTGAGGACGCCCTGCTCGAGGCAGATTTCTTAATGATGGATTTAACTGGACTCCAAGAGATATTCATGGACAGAGCTGCTTGGAGGGTTCTTGGTCATTTTGTCTCGTTTCCAGAGTTTGTGCTCCTGAAGGTTTGTCTTAACCTCTGAAGTTATCGTACAAATAAATGTGATCGTCCTAAAAGTTCATTTTTATTGTGGCCCATAAATGTAATTTTTGGTATTTATATTATATATTCAAAATGTGTCTGCTGACAGTAACCCTGATGACGACTTTTCTTGTCATGTTTTTGAAATCAATTATGTGAAATTAAGGCTTTTTAGTTTTGCACAAACTCTACAGGGCATCCTAAAAACGTGCATTTTAATTTCCGCTATATTATCCTACATAAGGAGCCTCATGACAATGGAATAAAGCTGAAATCTGTATAATTCCTCCCGTCGTTGGGCTGTAACCAGGACTGGTTGGATTTCATCAGACTGAGCAGCACTGAGCTGTTCTCTGCCGTCTGACATTCCTCTGCTGGTATTTCCCGACGGCCGAGCCCTGTTCCTGCTTCTGACTCACTACACTGTAAATAATCAAGTTAGAAACCTGTAAAATCTTCAGCTTCCTTCAAATTCCATTAAAATAACACATTATAGTCTAACAACGAATAACGTATGTTATCTCTGTAATTTCATGGCCAAATTTCGGTCGCAATCCAACTGTGACTGTTAACAGTCTAAATTAACAGTCATCTGTAAATTAATTAAATTTTTAGTCTAATACAAATTGTAATGTATCTCCAGTATTTGTATTTTTTTAGGTTACAATATTCTTCTGTAGTTTCATGTGTATTTCTTTCTCACATTCTTGCTGCTGGATCTACAAAGGTTTTAATTTTCTTTTTTTAACATAAAATATGTTTTTAAAAAAAATAGTAGAATACTGTAACGTTCACACCAAAATACCAGCAAATATCTGTAAAATAATCATGTTTTTAGCTGATTTAAATACAATAAAGCAGTGATGTCTTTCTGTCAGACCTTGTAACAAACTACTATTTTTGAAAATAATTTCATTTATGTGCATAATTTACCGTTTTAACTTTTTTAGTTACAGAGATGTAAATTAATACTTTTTCTGTGATCTTACTAGAGATTATCTGTAATTTAACAAAACAGGAAAACTCTAATAACAACAATAAAAATAATCATTTACTATTTTGTAACTTAGCAGGCAAATTTTTTAAAAGAACAAACTTCTATTTATAAAATTACAGGTTTTTGAAGTGGACATGATTTACAATTTTGGATTTTTAAATTTTTTTTGGTAAATATTAACATGTTAATTAAAACCCTTTTCTGTGGTTGTACTAATTATGATCTGTAATTTAAGAAAACAAGGAAAAACTGTAAAATTACAGTTTCAAATTTTTGTAACCTTAATATACATCATTTTTCTTTTCAATAATGGCAAATACCTGCAAAATAAAGATAATTTTTCTGTGTCAATACAGTAAAACTGTATAATTTTGCAGGAAAACATTTTAAAAGAACAAATTATTTTTTCTAAAAATACTGATTTTTGATGTGGACTTTAATGACAGTTTTGGCCTTTTTTTTTTTTTTCCAAAGGTGAACATGCAAATGAATATTTTCTAAATAGTTTTACAAGTTTGTAATTCAACAAAATACGACAACAGTTAAAAAATATTTAATTTCAATTAAGAAGTAATTTATTTTTTACAGTGTATATTTCCCAAAACAATGGCTTCATGAGGCTGCATCCCAGCTGATTCCTCCTGACAGCTTCACCACCACACTTCATCCCTTCTGCTGCCTCCAGCCTATCAGTGAGGAACACATCTCGTCCTCACTGATGCTGTGGCACATCTCTGTCGTAGCAACAAAGACTGAGAGGAAACAGCAGTTTGTTCTACTTTATAAAGCAAAAGAGGGAGAAATAACCACAACTGTAGAGTCTGGCTGAGATGCCTGCAGCTTGTTCTGAATGTTTCTGCTCAGGCCTGAGTGTCGCTTCCCTGCAAACAACAGAGTGAAAGAGTCTCGTAAATGGATTCGGCGTCAGAGAGCTGAAGCAGCCGAACAAAGAGTCAGTGTTCAGGAGACAAATGGGGGTGAGATCGAAGGTCTCGGCCACAACAACAGACCATTCCAGCCCAGAAGCTTTGGCACACCGCCCTCACACACAGACACATACCTCTGATGGTCAATTCATACAAGACCTCAAATTAAGTTTCATTTAAAACACTGAAACATCCCGTCTGTGCCACCGAAAAACCAGGACTCACTGATAAGAAGTGTGAGACGCTGTGTTGCAATCAGCTGTTATACATTTTAAAAATCCACAGAGGACGGCATCAACTAGCTACCAGCATCCTAGAATGTCCTTTAAACTCAGTTTGTGCGATTAATCAACTATTGACTACTGCCCATGACTGACTAATTACTGTTTTGTTCTCTAAAATACTTTTGTTCTAAGATTAATTAGATGAGCTAAAACAAGTGCTTTGGTACAGTTACCTTTCTGTTATGAATACAATCATAAACAGATGACGAGGCAATGCTGTCGGTCACTTTCAAACAACAGACAGCAGTTTCTGACCCATCCATTCACCCCGACCTCCTCCCGATGTCGCCTGACTTCTTACTTTACGCCCGTCATAACTACTATGACCACTAGAGGGTGCTTAACTTACATGCAGTTAGGAAAAGTAAAAGAATTTCCAATCAGCTTGAAACATGAAACGAACAGCGGTCTCTCGTTTCTAAACTCCAGTGTTTTGTTGGCCCATCTATCTTCTTTCTTTGCTCCTGTCACAATTACTACGACCACCAGAGGGCGCTTAAACATGTGCATATGAAGGGTAAAAAAAAGCAATGCTGACAATCAGGTTGAAACAAGAACAAATAGCAGTCTCACAATTCTAAGCTCCAGTGTTTTGTTGATCCGTCCATCCACCCTGATTTCCTCTCTACATCACCTGACTTCTTGCTTTGCACCTGCCTGACCACTAGAGGGCGTGTAATAAACACACAATTAGGAAGGGTAACAGAAAGAACCCCAACAATCACCTTGAAACAAGAAGAAAACAACGATCTCACGTTACTAATGTCGTGTTTTGTTGACCCATCCATCCACCCCGACCTCCTTCCTGAGCCACCTAACCTCTTGCTTTGCACTAGAGGGCACTTAGCCATAAAATGTGGCTCGTTTTTATGTGATAGATTTTAGCAAAGAAACTAACAAATAACCCTTAAAGGCTGAACATCTGGACACATTTCTGGCGGTTGAGCAGGTTTTAGTTTCTGATGAAGCAACTTTTTGTCGGTTTTTAGCCACAGAAAAGCGTCTCGTCTCTAAAATGGTTCTCCTCACCATCACCTCCTCCAGTGTTTGCTCTCTGAATTCCCGTCATGCCAGCAGATCTGAGGAGCCCTTCCTCTCCGCCTCTTACTGAGCTAAAATGGCTTTTATGGGTGAAGCACTCAGTGTAATGTTACTGAACAGGATATATTTACTGGGAAGTGCTGTCAGAGGTCGTGGAGGCCGCGATGACTCGGACCAATCCAGAACGCCGGAGCTCATTTTCCAAAATCACAATCTCACAGTCCGCAAATAAAACGTGGGACTTCTTTATGGAGTTTTATTTAGTTTCTGATACTTCAGTTTGACATTTTGTGACTCATAGTTCCTGATTTAATGTCTTGTAATCTTGGTTTATTAGCTCATACTGTTTATATTTGGTATCACAATGGTGATTTAGTGTTCCATAATCCAACTTCTTCATTTATTTTGATTAATTTCCATTTAGGTTGATAGATATAGCACCATATTATTCCATTAACAACTATTAGAAAATTATTTTCCTAGTTTAGTGTCTCATAATTTAGTAGTTTGTAATCTTTATCTCCTAATCTTGATTCGTTATCGTTTAGTCCAAATGTTGTATCTTCTATTTCTAATTTAGTTTCATAATCTTAGTCTAGTAACTCATAAACCCGGTATAGTATCCTGTAATCTTGATTTAGTGTCTTTTACACTTGATTTAGTATCTCAAAATGTTAATTCAGTATTATTTAATCTCAATTTAGCATCCTGTTATCTTGATTTAATATCTCTTGATCTTGATTTTGTATCTCATAGACCTTATTCAGTATCTCAGTATACCACAATCTCATTTTTGTGTCTTGTAAACTTGATATAATTTGGATTTGCCATCCAGTATTCTTGATTTAATCCCACAATCGTGCTTCAGTATGTTTTAGTGTCAGTTTAGTGTCTTCTTTCAGTATCTTTTAATGTCAATTTACCATCTTAATCTGGTTTTATGTCTTCTTAGCTTGATTTAGTGTCTCATGCTGTTGATTCAGTATCTTTTAATCTCCATTCCACATCTTCTAATCCTCATTTTATGTCTTGCAACCTTAAATTGGTGTCTTCTATTCTTGTTGTACTTGATCATCCGGATTTAATATTTTATGTAGCTCATAATGTCGAATTAGCGTTTCATAAGCTCAGTTAAGTAACCGAGTCTATTTTCATTCCTGACGTTTCATCTGCAGTAATGTTCTTCAGTCTCTCGAGCTGCTGGATTGATTAATGGATGCTGGTTGTTTCTGAGAATAAAACACTCGATGAGCTCATTAAGATCGACTCTCCAACAAACTGTTTGTCCTATTTAGGGCAGAAGTACAAGCTGGTCAGTCCGTTGCCCTGCTGACTCATAGAATGACTTAATGAAGCTGCATTTAGCTCCGTGACGCCGAACACTTTGTTTCAGTTTGGCCTGGAGGTTGTTTTGGTGTTTCATGGCTCAGGAATCCAGAGTTGGAGGAAGGGACCAGTGGCGTTTCCGGCTACATGGATGGTATCCCAGCTGGAGGGTGTGACCGAGGGCTGCTGTGGGATTAACAGAGCAGACTGAGAGGTTTAATGCAGTCAGATCTGATGAGCTTCACTGTCTGACCTCCTGATAGAAACAGTTGTTGCTGTGGTGAGTCACCAGCTGCAGAACCAGAACACGTGTCCGGGTCCAGAGAGTTCAATCTAAGTTTTCTGAAAACATTTCTCGAGACACAAGATCATTACAGTGTAACGTTCAGGAAAATATAGGAGTTCCCACATGAGGAGTTGGAGATTAGTTTTATTTTCTAGAGAAACAGGACATGATTAGCCTAGCTTAGCATAAAAGCTGGACACAAAGGGAGATCGTTAGGCAAAGATTTTAAAAAACCCTCTTCCAACAACTTCAATTGCATGGTATACCAAGCTGAAGATGATCTTCAAGCATGTAGTATATCACAATCTTGATTTAGTATCTTGTAATCTGGATTTAGTATCGAAAGATCTTGATTCAGTATTGTTTAATTTTACTTTTGTAACATCTCATTTTAAAATCTCTTTTGTATCTCTTCATCTTGAAAGTAATTCATCTTCCAATTAGACTTAAAAGATAACTAAGCTAACAGGGACTAAGCTAAGGGTAAACAGAAAATAGCTACAAACGAGAGGAAACTAGAAGCTAAATCTAAGCTAACAAGACCCAAAACCTAACTAAGCTAATAAGGCTCAGAAGCTGAATGTAAACTAAGTGAAACTATAAAATTTATTTTAAACTAGTTAAAATTAAAAACTAACTCTAAAGATAATAAGACCCACAAGTTAAATATGCTAATTGATGCTAAGCTAAGGGGAACTAGAAGCTAACTCGTAATTAACAAAAAGCTAAACGCTAACTCATAGCTAATTTGGCAAGAAGTTACCTCTAAGGTACTAAGTCCTTGTGCTGAGCTATTTATTTTTAAGTGATAACATTTTTTTTATATTCTTGAAGAATTAAGATAGTTTTTGGTTTGTTTTGTCTTGCTTCCTTTTTTTTATATATAAATGTGACGAAGGATGGATTTTATGTCACACTTTGAAGCCTAAGTTAAAAGTATTTCTATGAATAGTTCAGCTGACCTTCCAGAAACCAACTATTCTGCCTCAGAGCTTCCAAGACTTGCCACAAAGCCACTCATAAAGTTGAATGGAGCCTGTTTGGCTTGTTAAAGCTCAGAGGATGAAGCTGAAACCAGATCTGCTGCTGGGATGTTGATCTGTGTAGACTCAGCACTTCACAAAGACACAGACAGGTGCTTCTGTACCGCCATATATATGTTTATATATATATGTATATATATATATGTATGTATTGTGAATGTATAAGTGTGTATATATATATATATGTGTGTGTGTGTGTGTGTGTGTGCTGGTGAGCTGTCAGGTGTTGGGGAAAGGACAGGTTGTCGGACACTGAAGAGGTTTTCTTTGTCCTGGTGTCAGTAACAGGCAGCGGCTGAATGTCAATGAGCTGCTGCAAGTGACAATAACAATCATCAGTGTGTTCAGAGGTCAAACAGCAGCATTCACATGTACACAAACACATTATTTTTAAAAGTACTGCTTTACATCCCGAGGCAGCTGTTTACAGTCTATTTCTACCTGTTTGTACATTCCTCTGTTCAATAACCTCTCATGGAAACATCACAGGACAGCTTAAAGAGAATTTACAAGCAGAATTTACTCAATTTGTTTGTCTCCATAAGAATTCAGGACAGTGCATTGGCACGTTTCTTTTGTTTTATAATGAACCACCTAAAATCTGATGGCTTCTTCATTTCTTGTCCACTAGGAAACCAGATTTCGATGTATTTCGAGCATACAAACTCCTAATTTAACATATTTTTAGCTTTTAAACCACTAATATTTATGGGAGCTGCCCCGTATGATACAAACTTTAGTTTCACATTAAACTGTAGAAACAAAACAAAGGCCCTGCGCTCATTTTAATCAGACCGCTGTGCTTGATTTCGATACTGATGTTTTCAAAGTCGTCCAGGAGAGACTAGAGGCTAACAAGACCTGAAAGCTAATAAAGTCTAGAAGCTGAGTTAATGCTAAGGGTAAAGAGATAATTACTCTAAACTAAGCATAAGTAGAAGATAAATAGAAATTAACTCTAAAGGAGGGGAAATTAGAGCCTAACTGTAGTCTAACAAGACGTAAACGTTGACTAAGCTAATCAAGTCTGGAGGCTGAGTCTGAATTAAGGGTCAATAGAAAACATCTCTGAACTCGGGGAAAACTAGAATCTAACTGTAAGCAAACAAGATCTGAAAGCCAATTAAGCTAATATGGAGTAAGCTACGGGTAAATAGAAAATAGTTCTGAATTATGGGAAACTACAGCCTGAGGCCTAAACGCTAACTAAGCTACGGCTAAGCTAAGGGGAAATAAAAAATTTTAAAAGCTTTAAATTGGGGAAACTGAATCTAAACTAACAAGACCCTAAAGCTAACTAAGACAACATGGATTAAGCTAAAGGTAAACACAAACTAGCTCTGAATTATATGAAATTAGAGGCTAAAATCTAACAACACAGAAGCTAGCTAAGCTACTGAGGGCTAAAAGTTCAGTCTAAGCAGAGGGGAAATCATTCAAATTGCTCATAGGTACAATATTTTCATTAGAATCACAGGATTATTTCATCAGTAAATCGTCTTTAGCAGATTACAGACTGCTGCAGAGTTACGCATTCTGGTTTCTATTTCAGGATCAGCTCAGGCATTCAGACACATCGACACCCAGTCGAAGCATCTCAGCAAAAACAAGCTGATAAAACAAACTACTGATAGGAAGCAGCTGCTCACTTCAACTGTTGATGTTCAACTCACTCAAGCTTCTGTCTCTCAAATATGTTCACTGTTTCTCTTTCCAGGCTGCCCCAGAACCAGCACCAGAACCTGTCCCTGAACCAGTTAAAGTACCAGAGACTCCAGCAGCACCTCCTGCAGCAGCACCAGAACCAGTAATAGTAGCAGAACCAGTCAAAGTACCAGAGGTAGCTGCAGTACCAGAACCTACCCCAGAACCAGAACCAGTCCCAGAACCAGTGTCAGTGCCCGAACCTGTCCCAGAACCAATCCCAGAACCAGTATCAGTTCCCGAACCTGTCCCAGAACCTGTTCCAGAGCCAGTGGTAGTGCCCGAACCTATCCCAGAACCAGTATCAGTACCCGAACCTGCCCCAGAACCAGTATCAGTACCTGAACCTGTCCCAGAGCCTGAACCTGTACCAGAGCCAGTATCAGAACCAGCTGCAGTCCCAGAACCAGTCTCTGTACCTGAACCTACCCCAGAACCTGTTGCAGTGCCCGAACCAGAGCCTGTGGTCGAGTCTGAGCCAGTGTCTGAACCTGAAAAAGTGGTGGAGTCCACCGAACCTGTTGCAGAGGTGCCAGCTGAGCCGGAACCTGCACCAGAGAACGTTGTGAACAATGGTAAAGATGGACTGTTTTATTCTCATTCGCCTCACTGGGGTTATTTTTTTGTGTTGTTTGATATCAATTCTGTATTGGACTCAGTGGACACAGCACATTATGGAAAAGCCTGAGCGGGTTCAATCCTGTTTACAGAACCATGTGACCATCTGTAATTAGTGTTGGAGTTCCCCAAGTTTCAATTCTGGGGCCTCTTCAGTTCAACGTCTTACCATAAATATGTGGACACAAGAGTAGAGACATTAATGCAGCAATATCACCAATGATGAGCCAATTCTGCACAATGTCCAAATCACAAGGGTTCAAACGTAACTGGACACTCTGTGGTTGGCTGAGATGTGTCACCAGGAAAGATGCAAAGTGTTTGTGGAGCCAAGACTTCAGGCAATCAATAAAAAAATGTAGGGATACGTTATATGTTTCTGTCCAATTACTTCTGGAAAGGTCTGTATCTCCACACAGTATTTTCTATATTGATAGTAACCTACTGAAAGTAAAGGGAGGCTTTAATGTATTGTTCATTATTTATTTCTAATGGAAAACTGTCCACATTATTCTTTCCTGGATGTTTATGCATTAGAAAGGCCTCCTTTGTTTACACTGACTGTAGTCTTTGAATAGAAAGGTCTCTTGCAGCAGACAGATGTCAGCAGCTGTGTCTGACAGATAAGTCACTTCCAGGAAAAGTGCTGTCAGGCTGAATGTTTTCTCAGTCGCAGCCTTCACAGACACCAGTTCCATTTATTTACAGCACGTAGGCTCAGAGAAATCTATTAAATATCAATGCATTTACTGTGTAATATTAAATCTCCAAAGAGTAAATCCTCTGGCGATGCTCAGGAAGATTGGTTTCCATGTGATGGAAAATTACATCAGTGTGAGCCGCAGCTCATCATACGTGAACCTCTCAGAGTTTGTTGTGGCGTCCAGGTCCGTGTAATAAACATGAACTGAGCGTGTCCAGTCCGTGCTGACAGTCTGTTGGCGTGTTCAGCTGCCATCTGCTTTAACAGGATGACACTTAATCTTGAACAGGCAGTAAAGCACTTGGCAGCCACCGTTAGCTGACAGTCGGCCTTCTGTCCTCCAACCTGTCGCACGGCAGGTGGAGCAACAGGTGTGTCAGTCAGGGTTCTACGTGTTTAAAGGAACAATACACTGATTAATGCAGACTATATGGTCGTAACACCAAAATTAGCCACTTGTGCTGAGCAGATTCAGCATTATTCATTATACTAATACCTCATTTTGAGTTCTATGCCAACGCTGACGGCGCACGTTAAGCTACGTATTAAAAAATTAACACATACAGTCAGTGAGAGTAAATTACATTCTGATATGGATTACATGCTAACACTTTTAGCATATACACTGAAAAATGTAGTATTTAATAAAACGCTAACACTTTTAGCATACATCAAGTAGTATGTAATTACATGCTAGCACTGTAAGCATAAGTTCAGTAACATTTATTTACATGCTAACCCTTTTAGCACACGTCGAGTAATTTTAATTAGACAGTCTCAGTTTTTACATTAGATTAGGTAATAGTTATTTATATGATAACACTTTTAGCACACATCGAGTTCGATGATATTTGTATATATGCTAGGTGTTGTGAGATAAGTAATATTTAATCCCTTGCTAGCACTTTTAGCAATCCTCAAATGAAGTATTTAATTAAATGCTAACGCTTATAACATATGTTGAATAAAGAGATACTTGCTAAGGTTTTTAGCATACGTTTTATTTATGTAATTTTACGCTAACACTTTGCATGCACCAAGTTAGATGGTATAGGTAATAAAACACTTTGTAGCATACCCTAGCATTAGGTGTTGTTAATTATATGGTCATGTTCAGTATACAGAGTTAATATAGCAAATTTAATGCTATTTGTTAGCATAAACTAGGGTATAATGGGACACTTAAGGATACATAAAATTTTATTTATTGCTAGCAGGTGCTGTTATACAGCATGCTAACATTATGAGTAGGATTACGACATCGTTAAGTTTATTAAATTGATTATAAAGCACCGGGTGATTTCAAAAAGCCTGAAGTTATGTCCTTATAATGTTAGTGTGGAGCAACCAACAATTCAAAAACAGAGATTTTTAATCCACTATCATAAAAGAAAAGTAAAACGAGCACGATTGCTTTAGCGCACATGAAGCTAATATGAACCAATATGAGTGTAAACATGCAGGTGGATTAGTGGGACGAGTTGGACTGATGTTGGTTAATGAGTGGACAGTCAGCTCTGTGTTCCTGCTGTTCCAGATGTGGCTGAAGCTGAAGATCAGGTGAAGTTCATCCCGGGGAAGAAACAGAGCAAGTTCGAGACGATGATGACGAAGGAGGAGATCGAGGAGGAGCAGAGGTTTGTTCTGACAGTGTGAAGCATGCTGAGCTGAGTTTCATCCTGCATGAACACAAAGATAAAAACCCATCACTGGCATTTTGAGAAGTTGTCCGAGCATGAACTTTGTTGGCTAAAATGCATCGGCCGCCTGCTGCTACGGTGACTACTTTCCATCCAAGTGTAGAAAATCTGCACATTTTGGCAGAACAAAGCCAACATAAATCATGTTTCCACTGCAGGAACTCAGTTCAGGTGCAAAACGAATGTTTACAGGATCCAAAAAC